GTTCCAAAAAGTCCCCTTTTATAGATTCTAATTTACTCCGGGCTCTATATGCTTAATTTCATGTTTCTAGGTTAAATTTTATAGAAAACTCAAAAAGTACCAGTCGAAAGACGAAAAAGTTCCAAAAAGTCCCCTTTTATAGATTCTCATTTATTCCGGGCTCTACATGCTTAATTTCATGTTTCTAGGTTAAATTTTATAGAAAACTCAAAAAGTATCAGTCGAAAGACGAAAAAGTAGCAAAAAGTCCCCTTTTATAGATTCTCATTTACTAAGGGCTCTACATGCTTAATTTCATGTTTCTAGGTTAAATTTTATAGAAAACTCAAAAAGTACCAGTCGAAGGACGAAAAAGTACCAAAAAGACCCCTTTTATAGATTCTCATTTACTAAGGGCTCCACATGCTTAATTTCATGTTTCTAGGTTAAATTTTATAGAAAACTCAAAAAGTACCAGTCGAAAGACGAAAAAGTACCAAATAGTCCCCTTTTATAGATTCTCATTTACTAAGGGCTCTACGTGCTTAATTTTATGTTTCTAGGTTAAATTTTATAGAAAACTCAAAAAGTACCAGTCGAAAGACGAAAAAGTTCCAAAAGTCCCCTTTTATAGATTCTCATTTATTCCGGGCTCTACATGCTTAATTTCATGTTTGTAGGTTAAATTTTATAGAAAACTCAAAAAGTACCAGTCGAAAGACGAAAAAGTTCCAAAAAGTCCCCTTTTATATATTCTCATTTACTCCGGGCTCTACATGCTTAATTTCATGTTTTTAGGTTAAATTTTATAGAAAACTCAAAAAGTATCAGTCGAAAGACGAAAAAGTACCAAAAAGTCCCCTTTATAGATTCTCATTTACTAAGTAGCTCTACATGCTTAATTTCATGTTTCTAGGTTAAATTTTATAGAAAACTCAAAAAGTACCAGTCGAAAGACGAAAAAGTACCAAAAAGTCCCCTTTTATAGATTCTCATTTACTAAGGGCTCTACATGCTTAATTTCATGTTTCTAGGTTAAATTTTATAGAAAACTCAAAAAGTACCAGTCGAAAGACGAAAAAGTACCAAAAAGTCCCCTTTTATAGATTCTCATTTACTAAGGGCTCTACATGCTTAATTTCATGTTTCTAGGTTAAATTTTATAGAAAACTCAAAAAGTACCAGTCGAAAGACGAAAAAGTACCAAATAGTCCCCTTTTATAGATTCTCATTTACTAAGGGCTCTACATGCTTAATTTATGTTTCTAGGTTAAATTTTATAGAAAACTCAAAAGTACCAGTCGAAGGACGAAAAAGTACCAAAAGTCCCCTTTTATAGATTCTCATTTATTCCGGGCTCTACATGCATAATTTTATGTTTCTAGGTTAAATTTTATAGAAAACTCAAAAGGTACCAGTCGAAAGACGAAAAAGTACCAAATAGTCCCCTTTTATAGATTCTCATTTACTAAGGGCTCTACATGCTTAATTTATGTTTCTAGGTTAAATTTATAGAAAACTCAAAAAGTACCAGTCGAAAGACGAAAAAGTTCCAAAAAGTCCCCTTTTATAGATTCTCATTTACTAAGGGCTCTACATGCTTAATTTCATGTTTCTAGGTTAAATTTTATAGAAAACTCAAAAAGTACCAGTCGAAAGACGAAAAAGTTCCAAAAGTCCCCTTTTATAGATTCTCATTTACTCCGGGCTCTACATGCTTAATTTCATGTTTCTAGGTTAAATTTTATAGAAAACTCAAAAAGTACCAGTCGAAAGACGAAAAAGTTCCAAAATGTCCCCTTTTATAGATTGTCATTTACTAAGGGCTCTACATGCTTAATTTCATGTTTCTAGGTTAAATTTTGTAGAAAACTCAAAAAGTACCAGTCGAAACACGAAAAAGTTCCAAAAAGTCCCCTTTTATAGATTCTCATTTACTCCGGGCTCTACATGCTTAATTTCATGTTTCTAGGTTAAATTTTATAGAAAACTCAAAAAGTATCAGTCGAAAGACGAAAAAGTACCAAAAAGTCCCCTTTTATAGATTCTCATTTACTAAGGGCTCTACATGCTTAATTTCATGTTTCTAGGTTAAATTTTATAGAAAACTCAAAAAGTACCAGTCGAAAGACGAAAAAGTTCCAAAAAGTCCCCTTTTATAGATTCTCATTTATTCCGGGCTCTACATGCTTAATTTCATGTTTCTAGGTTAAATTTTATAGAAAACTCAAAAAGTACCAGTCGAAAGACGAAAAAGTTCCAAAAAGTCCCCTTTTATAGATTCTCATTTACTCCGGGCTCTACATGCTTAATTTCATGTTTCTAGGTTAAATTTTATAGAAAACTCAAAAGTATCAGTCGAAAGACGAAAAAGTACCAAAAAGTCCCCTTTTATAGATTCTCATTTACTAAGGCCTCCGCATGCTTAATTTCATGTTTCTAGGTTAAATTTTATAGAAAACTCAGAAAGTACCAGTCGAAAGACGAAAAAGTACCAAAAAGTCCCCTTTTATAGATTCTCATTTACTAAGGGCTCTACATGCTTAATTTCATGTTTCTAGGTTAAATTTTATAGAAAACTCAAAAAGTACCAGTCGAAAGACGAAAAAGTACCAAAAAGTCCCCTTTTATAGATTCTCATTTACTCCGAGCTCTACATGCTTAATTTCATGTTTCTAGGTTAAATTTTATAGAAAACACAAAAAAGTACCTGTATAGAACGAAAAAGTAGCGAAAAGTCCCTTTATTATTAATTTCATGTTTCTATTTCAATATCATAGAAAACTCAAAAAGGACCAGTTGGAGAATGAAAAGTACCAAAAAATATCACTTGGTACCGGGGTTCCAAATAACACCCCATTAGGATATTTAGTGTTTCTAAATTTAAAAATTTTATCTAAATTGGATCATTGTGGTTGAACAAAATCAAATTTCCCGTTTTTACCCCTTTTGGTACTTTTTTCCTCCCCATTAACGAAATAAAAATTCTATTCCAAAAGGTTGCAACATCGTAGTGGGAGCCCGTTATTATGTATTCATAAAAACAATGTTTTATGAAAAAAGTACCAAAAATAGGTACAATTTTAACCCCTTAAACGTCCGAATATCCAAAAAGTACTAAATTCATATTTTTATTTTTTCGTTAAGTTATGAAGGAGTCAAAAATATTTTTTGAATGTGCACTGGTTTAAAAGATACATGGGGTGCGAAAAAAGTACCAAAATACAGTTTTTACCCGTTTATTCCCTAAAGAGGCCGAATTTTAAAAAAGTACCAGACACCTGTGTGTTTATTTTTTATATGAACGGCGATAAGCTTTAAACTGTTTTTGTATCTTTTCTAGTTTAGGAGATATAAGGTTACCGAATTTACCCGTTTTTACCCTTTTTTTACCCCCTAAACATTCGAATTTCCAAAAATCCCGTCTTAGTGGATCTATTTGGCGGGAGACCAACCTCCTGTCCAAATTTCAGCTCTTTAGCTTCAACCGTTTAGGCTGTGCGATGATGAATCAGTCAGTCAGTCAGTAACGTTAGAATTTTATATATATAGATTATGGTTATTTGCAAGTTACACATTTAGTCAAATATCAAAATTTCAAGAAAATATATTTATATTTTATTACGTTAAAAGCCCATTCCTCTGATAAAAAAGTATTTTTGAGACAGATTTCATAAAAAAGTAAGCAAGTTGTTCATTATTTATATCGTATGTAGAGTGGGACAAAAAGTACTGAGAACTGCCCACTGTTACATATACGTAACACCTTTGTTATCCTCTTTATAAGTCTCCGAAAGGACATGGTATATGTTTATAAACAATTAGGTAATAAACATTATTTACTTCTTTATAAGTTTACGTCAGAAACTTTTTTAAAAACTAACTACATAGAAGTTATTAACATTGTAAGATTTCATTCCTCGAAAAATATGACTTTTTGCAGGTTTACGAAATAGGCACTTTACAAAATAACACAAAAATACAATTCTATAGGCAAAAATTACTCAAATTCGATTTATAATCGTTAAGAACATGTTAAGTTAACCTATCCATCAGAAAAAGTAACTTTGCATTTTCCATTTCTGTGCATTTCGAGTCCAAATTCGAATTAATTTGCGTTACGTATATGTAACTGTGGGCATAACATAGACTACTAAATATATCATATTCTATATGTAGGGGAATAGTTAACAAAAAAGGAACATATAGAGTTCATTCATTCTTACTTCTTAGAATTAATTAAATATAAGATAAGATAAATTATTCCGTTTATTTGTCGACAAATTTCCAGCTATTGAGATAACTCAAACGCTTTCCACAGACGTTGGCTTTAGAAATGCATTAAGCTTTTACATAGATTTTATTTAGAATTTTTTCATTTCCTGCTGCATCATAATTGATGTTTTGTAATTTGCCTTTAAAAAAATCGCTAATAAATTATAAATTCACTATTTTTTCCTAAATATGTTAAAAATGCGTTAACATAAAAATTCCCATTTTCCCGGAAATGATTAAAAAAAATTACGCGAAATCCCGACAAACTTTTCCCGAGAATTCCCGGTCGGGATTTCCTGAACCCCAAACTCTAGGTATAATGTAAAAGGGGATAAGGGGCAGCAAGGTTTCATTTGCTGTTGCTGCCAACTATATTTTAAGTAAGCGACTTTATTTCTGTTGAATTAAAATATTTGACAGTGGCACCACTGACAAATGTTCACGCACTTCTTTAACAAAACATATGTTTTTAATGCCGTCAAAATAAAAGCCAGCTGCTGTTGCCTTCATTACATTTATTTTACATTTACTGCTAACAGCATTTGTTGTCGTGTTGCTGATATCTACATATGTATGTGTTTACAGTATTCGCTTTAGACATCCCTGGTATATAAGTATATCATAGATTCGGCATAGCCGACAAAACTCTTTTACTTGTTTTATTTTTTATTTATAAAAATAAAATTTTAATTCCGATAAACTAATAATAAAATAATTTCTTATTATATTTATTTTAACACATATAGGTGATAACATAGATCGGATAGAGGTACAGAATATTTTGGCTGAGGAAAATGAGGAAGCTGAAGGCGTTACAGAGGACGGTAACAATAGCATAGCTAGATCAACCTTTGGTACGGGTGACTTGGTAACTAATGAAAGCCAAACAAAAAGTATTTTAAATGAACCAGACATAGAAAAGAGAAAAGAGGACAATGTTACACCTACAAAGGTTCCAGCAACGCCCCCAAAATCCTTAGCAGAATATGTAGAAACACAGACCATAGCCACAACTCATGTACAAAATATAAACCAACGTCATCATCTTGTTAAGGATTTGGGAGATCAAATTTTACATGGTCAACCGTTAAACGTTCATAATCTTTTAGATGTGGCAGGGAGCATCTGTGCGGGGCCCATGGGTGCTTTATGTGATATGGCCGCATTTTCAAAATTGGATTGCAGCTCCCTGGGCGATCTTACGGAACACACGCACAACAATCCAGATTTTCTAGCCAAAAAATACTATCATCCTCTGTACGCGCACGGTGTTTGTCGATGGCCTGGATGTGAGTTACCACTCGATGATATGGCCAATTTTGTTAAGTAAGTGTATGAAGCCTAGATTTGTGTTTTCGGTCTAATTATTATTCTTGTCATTGGACTTTTTCATAATTGTTTGTGTCGGTCTACACAGGGAAACTTATTTGGGAGCTTTTCATTTTGTGTGTGAGAGAAAGAAAGAAATATCAATCATCTCTCCCGTGGTACGGAGTTTCTTGTACCCGGAAACTTGTTTTGTTACTCTTTTCATTCGTACCAAAACAAATCAATGCAATTTATACGTAGTTGTTGAAACAAAAGTTTCTCTGTGACAGAGAATTAAGAAAAAGTTTCTCAACAAAAGTTTCCCTGTGTAGACCGACACTTTGGAACATTTTCATAAAAAGTTTATTTAACATTTTAAAAATTATGTGTACAGAGTAACAGCGATGTCAACTAGTGCTTTTAAAAATTTTCGACTCCAACAAATTTCCAGTAAGTGCCTAGTGCTTCTTTATTATTTTTTTTAACATCAAAACTGTAATTTTTTTAAAATTTTAAGGTAATTTTAATTTAATGTAACATTTCTACAGAATGTTAAATATGTATATTTTAGTTTTCAGTTTCTATTTCTATCATTTATGTAAGTACCCAGCAGTTCGGTGGGACAGTCCCAAACTAAACACTTAACCTACCAATTAGGTTAGCCCCTAACCACCTGACTTTCCAGGTGACTACGATTAACTTCCTACGAGGAAGTTAATCGTAAAGAAATTTATTTAATTATTAATTGATTTTTTTCGCCAATTTTTTCGCATAATATTCAGCATTTTTGTTTGTGCCGGTCTACACAGGCAAACTTATTTGGAAGCTTTTCATTTTGTGTGTGAGAGAAAGAGAAAGAAATATCAATCAATCTCTCTCGTGGTACGGAGTATCTTGTACTCGGAAACTTGTTTTGTTACTCTTTTCATTCGTACCAAATCAATGCAATTTATACGTAGTTGTTGAAACAAAAGTTTCTCTGTGAAAGAGAATTAAGAAAAAGTTTCCCTGTGTAGACCGGCACTTTGGAACATTTTCATAAAAAGTTTATTTAACATTTTAAAAATTATGTGTACAGAGTAACAGCGATGTCAACTAGTGCTTTTAAAAATTTTCGACTCCAACAAATTTCCTGTAAGTGCCTAGTGCTTTTTTATTGTTTTTTTAACATCGAAACTGTATTTTTTAAAAATCATACAATTTTAAGGTAATTTTAATTTATTGTAACATATCTACAAAATATTAAATATGTATATTTTAGTTTTCAGTTTCTATTTCTATGATTTATGTAAGTACCCAGCAGTTCGGTGGGACAGTCCCGAACTAAACACTTAACCTACCAATTAGGTTAGCCCCTAACCACCTGACTTTCTAGGTGACTAACCATTTTAACATGAGATTGTCCTATGAGGAAGTTAATCGTAAGGAAATTTATTTAATTATTATTTGATTTTTTCGCCTTTTTTCTCGCACGATTTTTTGTGTTCCGCGAGAAAATAACACGAATTTCTTAATAAAAAACCTTTAAATTTTATGAAAACAAAAAAATATTTTTTTAATCCTGAAAATAATTTAGCAAAAATCTAAATTTTTCGGACGCTTTGTCAAAATTTAAATCAAAAAATATTTTAAAAAGAAGATACGCATACATATGTACATTTATCACGTTTTTAATAAAAACAACATTTCGAATATCGAAGAAACCTGGTTTTTCTCCTCAATTAGCCGGTTTTTTTATGTAGGGGACCTTATAGGGGGGTAGGGTGAGTAACCGACCCATTCTGCATGAAAATAGGCAGGAAGATTAAATTAAAATTGCTTATGTCGAATTTCCTCCCTATAATCTTATGTTTTAGCCAGTAATGAGCATTAAAATAATTTTTTGAAGGGGACCTTAAGTGGTGGTAGGTTCAATTATGGAGCAATCCTCACAAAATTGATAGAAACATTTTAGCTTGTATGTAAACTATTTTTTGTCAAATTTCATCGCTGTACTCATTTTTTAAGGGGACGTAATAGGTGTAGGGTGAGTTACCGACCCATTCCGCAATAAATTCGGTAGGAAGATTACGTTTCTACAAAAGTTGCTTATGTCGAATTTCTCCGCTATAGGCGTATTTTTAAGTCAGTAATGAACGTTTAAATAATTTTTTGATAGAGGCCTTATGTGGGGGTAGGGTCAATTATGGACCGATCCACATAAAATTTGGTAGAGCAATTTTAATGCATATAAAACTTAATTATGTCGAATTTCATCGTTGTACACGTATTTTAAATTCAGTAATGAGCGTTAAAGTCATTATCTGAAGGGGATCTTATATGGTGGGTAGGGTCAATTATGGACCGATCCTCATAAAATTTGGTAGAGATTTTGACGCATATGAAACTTATTTATGTCGAATTTCATTGCTATACTCGTATTTTTTAAACAGTTAAAGCTGTTTTTTGGGGGCTATGCAAAATCGTGGACCGATATGGCCAATTATCAATACCAAAAAAAACCTTACCTGTAAGGAATATTTTAACTCTCTAGCTCTTTGGACATGGCTAGGTCGCTTAGATTTTATATACTTTTGTGGGTCTACGACCAATATTTCGATGTGAAATTCTGAGTCGATGTAGCTATGTCCGTCTGTTTGGTTAAAACATGATCACGTTAAAACTAAGAAAAAAATTAACCAGTTTCGTACAGAAAATCAGCAAAATCAGTTCACTACATAAAAAAATTTCAGATTACCTCGAAATAAAGACGTTTTTTTTCCTAATTCTTGAGTAGTTTTCTCAGATAATTCGATGAATTTTGTCAAACGTCAGTTTTTTAGCCCAAGGATAAATTATGTTAAAAATTTTAATAATCGATCCACAATTCCCCATAGCTCTCATACAAAGGTAGGTACATATTCCGGGACGGGAAATGAATTTATTATTAATTACTCCCTCAAATATATCGGTATCAACACAAAATGTTGTATATATAAATATAATATAAACTTAAATCACATTACCGACGTAGATTTGTATCGGCCCACAATTGGTCATAGATGCCATATAATGTCTACTTCCAAAAATCAATTTAACTCATATGTATATTTCATAGATAAATAAAGCTATCGATTTATAATTCGACATGAATATGTTTTGTGTAAGTATCAATAACTCTACGATATTCGGTCCATAATTGGCCACAGCTCCACAGTGGGGCAGAATGGAAATTTTTTGGAAATAAATCTGGCATTTCTAAACGGCTGATCCGATCGGGATAAAATTTGGCGTGAGCGTAGCCAAGGAGTATTTGAGTTTAAGTTTTGAAGATGAACCCTGCAGATGCCCCAGGGACGGCGCTGTGGCGGCTCAAAGTAGGGTACCTACGACATGTAAAATTGTAAATATGCTTGGACATACTACTTATCTCTTATAATATCCGAGTTATAGGCATTTAAAAATTTAGTGATACAAAATTTACCATACCTTGGTCCGCCTTTTTTTGAATACCGGGCGTAATTTTGGACCAAATGGACTCAATTTTTCTTGTTAGTTAGACAACAAAATTTCCAATAATATACAAAAAATTTCAGATCAATATTGTTTACAGATCCAAAAATATACGTTTTTTAATTTAAAAATTCAAAAATTTTTAGATTTTTGCCGTTTTTTTGCCAAAAATGTGTCTTAACTCTTTTATTAATAAAATAAAATTTTTATTAAGAACATATAACAATTTTATAGTTTTCTAAAAGGTATCTTTACGCAGAACGCTTTGGCGTAAAAAACTTGTCCTATTTTTTGAAAATGTTGCCACCGCGTCCTTCCGAATATGACCTATTTTTTATCAAAACTTCAACTTTGGGCGACATGTTCTAAAATCCCAAAGCTGGGATCAGAAAACTGAAAGCAGTTTTGGAAACCTCAATATGTTTTCTATTTACTCCAAAAGTATTTTCCCAGCCCTGAAAGAAATGTGGACCCTATGGGCAAAAAAGTAAAAAATCCCATTTTTGGGATTTTCATTCCTATTTTTGGGAATTGCGGGATGCCCTTTGACCTTTTCAATTTTTTTTTTGCATATTCTTATTTGAAATGACAAATTTAACAAGCGTTGAAAATTTCATTGAGTTTTGTTCATAAATAAAGATTTTGTCATATATTACATATTTGTTTAATTTCTAAAACTATGATTTATATCAAAATTTTAATAGGATCGCAGATAGCTACAACAATTTAGTCCATATTTATCCCTTAATATCATTTTTTAGTTAAATATGGAAATTCTCGACCCTTTACAAAAAATTTCAAGCCAATATCTCAATTACATTCAAAAATATGTTCATTTAAACCTGTGTCCTTTAATTTCATCTTTTTCATATTTTAGTATTAAGTATGACAGCACATATTTAAATCTTATATTTGCCTATTTTCTATTTGTTTGCTTATCCTTATAATTGAAAGGTCCTATTATGCTTAAATTTTCAAAAATGTATAACTATTTTTTACCTAAATTTTTTCGACAGATCATTTCGTTCTGTTTCGTTTATGATCATGTAGGTAAAAATATACAGGTAATGATAATTTCGATTCATTCACTAATAAGAAATATCAATGACTGAATTACAGGTTATAGTAATATAGTCCTAAATGTTAATAGGTAGACAATTCGTAATTTTTTACTTTGGAATACCTGTATCGGAAATGACAAGAATTGGTATATAAGTAAACTTCTCAGATTTTAAGTACCATATTTAATAAATCTACAATGAAGATTACATTAAAGTACGAAGAGTTGTGTTCCGTTTTATGGAGTATATCTTCAAAAGGGCCAGAAAGAATTGAAGACATTTCAAATTATATAAAAACTACATATAGTAGAAAAGTAGACAAAACAGGCATATCAAAAATTTAAAACTTTTTGATGTAAAAAGTAAGTCTGTGGATGGAAATCAAAAGAAATTTCGATTAAAATTTTGTAGTTGGATGGAAACTACTACGGAAATCTCAACTTACAACACATCAATAGGAGCGCC